GGGGGGGGGGGGGGGGGGGGGGGGTCGGTGGTCTTGCTTTGCTTGTCAAGTATTCGTAACAGTCTTTCGTTTTCTACGTCGAGTTTCGATTTAGACTTGTTCGATAATTATTTAATTTTTTTAGAAAAATGATAGAGAACAAACAAACAATAAAATATATAAAAGATGAACAACAAAATAAGGCAAGAATTTAAATGCAGAACAAAACGAGAGTTGAAGTATGAATTGAAGTAAACCAACTAACCAGAGAAAGACTGCAAATTAGGGGCAGATCCCAAGTCCCCGTGCGCCCATGCTGAGTGATCTTGGTCCAGTCCAACTAGATCCTCTTTTGATTTCATTCAAAAAGAAGTTAGACAAAAACTCTAAGAAAGTCATATAAATACTTTTCTTCAACCTCCTAAGCTCTTCCTAATTCGTATAAGAAAATCTTATGCTAAATTCCCTTCAACTATAACTTAAGCTTCAAATTTTGTAGCGTCAAGGGCATTATCCTACTCAAAATATGGCAACAACAAAACTAAATGTTAAAAATGTCGATAAATCAAGATCGACGGTATCGTTTCCTTCTTTTATCTTGGCAAGCACCAATTTTTATTGACACTCGTGTGAGAGATAAACGAAACAATATAGGTTATAATAATACAAGGGTTATTGAACTTTCAATACAAACACTAATTCATTTTCTAATTTGAGTGCCTATGTTCTTAGATTGTCTATTATGAAGCCTTGCACAAAATAAAAATAAAAAAAAGAGAGAAAATTGATAGATCAGTGTTTATTTCTACATAGTTTACACATAGAATATGATGGTTACACAACGAATAATCTAACCAGCACTTTATATCAAACAGCCTAGAACCTTGCAACTGCAACAGTTATGTAACAACACTCTAATTTGACATAAACTTTACGAAGTCTATGCTGTGTCTATTTATGGTACGTGATCGACTCGACCGCAATTTTCATGAAATATTCGATCTCCTTTCTACTCATTTAATTTAGCGTTTGAGAGTTGGGTGCAAAGGTTACCATAAAATAGTGCTGCTCCATTCGGATCTCCTGGATGTGTAAGGCTGTTCATCTGGTCCATGGAGAAAATTCATCCTTCCTACCATTAAGCAAAGAACATGAAGGTCAAAGCTTCTCAACCATCATAAATCGCAATGGAAAGTTTGCAACATGCCATAGAAATAAAGATAGCACCAGTATAAATTTACTGAAACGTTAATAACCGTAGCTATTAGCTCTAGAGAATAACGATGGAACTGGCAACAGCACTGAGCATGAAATATATTACAGGCTTAATCTCAAATTTAGAGTAAATTTCATAGGTTCCTTAAAACAATATCAATTCAAAGCAAGCAAATTCCAACGATGTACCTACCGTTATCAGCATCAAGCTACCAGTGAGCAAACAAAGGCGAGTTACTTCCACTCTGGCCATTTCACAGAATCTGATCTTTTCTTCATATTAGATGGACCAGAGCTATTGGGTGAATCATGCCAGATCATCTCCATCTGAAGATAAACAAAGCAAAAAAGTAACGGATGTCCAAGTTTTTTTCATCTCAATATCCATAAATCCCACCAATTAGCTACATTCAAAAGAATACATAGTAAAGAGAACTCATGCAGTGTGGATGTGATAGATTTCCTGTATTTTTTCTACTTTATCTTCTTTATATTAATTTTCTCGTGTAATCAACTATTTTTAATCATTAGGCAGTTGATTAATTTCTTCAGGCATGTTAGCTTTCATTTCTGTCACCAAAAACATAGCTAGAGAGTTTCTAAGATACAATTGGAAATGCAAGTGATATATGTAGCTGTAGCATATGGTATATAACTAGCATGTGGTGTAAAGAGGATGCGAACCTAAATCCTTTACCTTGAACATCATTCATCAGTTGTGGCATAAATCTTAAGACAAGCAATTGTGTACATTTGTTCCTTGATTTGTGGAGTCATAAGCTACCCTCAAATTTACATAACCACATTTAGGTAACTGTTTATTTAAATGATGAATACAGAAGATAAAGTTATTGAGTTGTTAATTGCTTGATATTGATGTTTTAGAAGGATGATTGAACCATCAAAATCTCAACAATAGAAGCTTATTTGTTATTTAGTGAGAGAGAGACTAAATAACTTTTTTAGAGCAAAACAAGGAAGATTGAAGGTTATTGACTTTCTGCTTTAGGTCATGTACTCACTAAAATTGTCTTTGCTTTTGCATGATCTTTGGTATGTATTTCATGTATGCAACTATGTGAGTTTTGTGCAGCATTGCTATGAACTAATGACAAAAGTGCTAGGCTGAGCCAATTAAATTAAAAAATAAAAAACGAAGTAACATCTAGCAAGAAAATGAAGCATGAAATATACCTCTGCAACAAATACCGTGTCACCCTCCTTGATGCCAAGTTTTCTGAGAGACTTGTTGACACCACATGCCTCCATGACATGTTGGAACCTTCTTTCGGACTCCATGTAACTATTGCACGAAGCACATTAAGTCCAATGACCATAAACCAAAAAGGAGAATAGAAATGAAAAGGAGGATAAGAGGAAGTGTAGAAATTGATACATGATTTAACAGCCTAGCAACATTTTAACTCGAAAGAAAGTCAAAACAACATCTTGGGAGAGCTCTCTCCAGAAGAAAGGAAAGGGACTTTTTAAGATATTTTTTCTCTTTAGCAAAGTAATTAAAAAGAAAGAGGGGCTATCGATTCTAATAAAAAAGGGTAGAGGAGCTTCTTGTGTGCAATTTTCAACTTTACGGGAAAGCACTATAAAACATCTTTTAAACATACTTTTTTTTTCCCCTCCTTTTTCCAAAATCTGCTGGAAGGATTATGCCATTAGTAGGAAAATCCAGCTTACTTTTGTTCCTTAATAAAACTCGGTTAATGTAAATACTCTTACTCTTAGTTGCATGGTAGGAAGCGATGGAAACTTAAACCTATCTATTGATACCGAATTCATGAGTGAAGATTAACTTACCGCCAATTTGTCATCTGAACAAATCGTTGTAAACCAGATCCAACTACATGCCAGGAACCGCTATCACGAACAATTTCAAAGTCATCAATAGAAGCACTACGTTGCTTGTGTATTCTATCTGCCACATGGTCCAGATTCTCTGGTATTTTCCCACCTAAAATGGACAGAGTTCGTTAACACAACTTATTGATTGTGAATAAACAATAGAAGATTTATGTAATAGAGAAAATTTCTGGGAACAATAAGTTATATGACCTTGAAATTCCCTGGCTTCTTTAGTTTCCCTTAGTAACTGATATGCAGCACTGATGACTTCATGAGTGCCCTCTCTTTGTACGGCACTCATACAAAAAGTTTCAATCCCACGAGCTTGAAGCTTTTCCTTGAATGCTGGCCAGTTTTCGTAAGCTTCAGGAAGATCCATTTTGTTATAGGCAACAAGATAGGGCTTTTCAGCTAGTTCGGGGCTAAAGAGCTCTAACTCCAAACGAACAGCATCAAATTCATATTCAGGTTGTGGTCCTGACCCATCGACCACATGCACCTATAACTCCACAAGGGAAAATAAAGATACTTTAGCCTTCTATACATTACGATGCCACCAAGTGTTGAAGAAAAAATAAATATGGAAAAAGAGATTGAAGTTTCATTTTCCATAAAACACTGTAGAAGAGGTATTTATGACATTTCGCATCATTCCAATAGATCAAGGGATTATTGTGAGGTAATATTATAATGTACAAAGCCTTGGAGAAGGTAAATTTATCATTTAGCTTCATATACAAATGCGAATAGATATCCCCATTTAAGAATAGGACTTTTATGATTAATCAGCACTCACCAAAAGGATTATAAATCAAGTGTAAACTATAGGATATGAATTTGTACCAGTGCAGAACACCTTTCAGTGTGACGTAGAAACTCATGGCCTAAGCCAAACCCCTCGTGTGCGCCTTCAAGTAATCCTGGAAGATCTGCTACCACCACAGTTGAGTCATAGTCAAAAGAAACAACACCTAAGTTTGGGAGTAGGGTAGTAAAAGGGTAATTTGCTATGGCTGGCTGGGCAGCACTTATCACGCTCAAAAGTGTGCTTTTCCCTGCATTTGGTGCCCCGACGATTCCAACGTCTGCAACAAGCTTTAGCTCCAACTCCAACCACCTGAAGAAAATAGTTAGTACTCCTATCCAAATAATCATCCATTCATAAGACAACAATAAGTTGTTTTTCTATAAGAAAACTACTTCCATTAAGCTATGGGAAATAGTTTTTAACGAGTTCCTAGAACTGCCTGTCCCCACCTCATCTCAATCCTATCCCTTAGAATGGCATCACCCATTTTGCTCAATGATCTTGCATCACTATGCGTCTCACACTGAGGGAAAATGGCATGTCCATTCGGGGCAAAAACATTGAATATTTTAGAACCAAAATACCCAACCCCGAACTACATCCTCACAAGGTTTAGGCACTAGCTCCCACCAAACTAATAAGAGCTAACACCCTCCACCCCATCTTCCATAGAATCCCTCATTATTATTTCAAGTTAGCACAAATGGGGAAAAGGATCTTTAAAGATGGAAAGGAAGTGAAGTGTAATACAACTCCAAGTAGACATGACTAAAATCAGTATGCCACTTAAGGGAACAATAAAACAAAATAAATAAATAAAGCTCTTCATTAAGCAAGCTTAAGTATTTTTTTTCTCAATCAGATCTCAAAACGGGAATTGAAAAAAGATCAGAAGGAACCCATTTTTCCCACCATCAAGCCTTCGGCTAAACCACTCTCCACACCCCTGGACAATGTCTTCCATCGACAAAAAATTTATCAAGAAAATCTCAACTCAAGTGATTGTAGGCTATGTAGAAAAAAAAAAAAAAACTTTCTTCAACAAAACTTCATCAAGAAAATCTCAACTCAATGATCCTCAAACTTTTCAACGTTTTATTGTGAAAAGCAAATTTTTTTTTATTGATTTTAAATTCCTTAGGTTCCTAATGAACTCTATACTGTGTCAATGAGAACCTCATCCATAATTTTTCTTTAAGCCACAGACCTACCCAATTAGAAGAAATAGTATGAGCTAATACCTTCCTCATTCTATCTGCCAAAGCCTTAGCATTGATGTGGTAGAGATTTCTCAAAAGATTAGTTGGCTAGGAAGAAGACAAATGTAGGTCTCCCTCATATTCACATTGATTATACCACTTTGAAAAGACTCATTAGCCACCTCTAATAAATTGAAAAGACTCATTAGCCACCTCTAATAAATTGGGCTGGAGCTTAGTAATTTTTCAATCACCCAAATATAGGCCAAGGGGAACCATTAGGATGTGACACCTTGAAACTTTGTAAACTAAACACAGCCCTTAATCTCCCAAGAATGAAAAGCCTCTTCAAACTTTCCCTCTAAGGATGCGAATCTAGTCCCTCAACAAATAGCTTAAAAACTTAGGAATGAGCATAGAAGGAAGTGGATAAGATGACCATCTTTTCCATCTCCTTGTCCCCAGTAGTCACGCTATCATTACTATCAGCAAGAGAGATTCAAATTTCCTGAAATTGAAGAAATTATAAAAGAAACACGTGTAGCTATCCCTTTCCTTCATCCACATGACTCTTAGTTTCATACTCACCTAGCGAGACCATTATAAGAGTACATTCAACTTAACTATCCTCATTGTTTGAAAAAGAAGAAGAACGCCCTCACACGGGCAGTCTCCAAGCACAAAGGAGGAAGCATTTGAACAAACGACCATTACTAAAAATGGGTGCAAAACAATTAAGAATATGCGTGCTCGTGTGGTGAGAGACACAACAAGAGCATTAGGTACCATTTTCAAAAAATCATACAAAAAAGGAAGAACATAAAAACTCACATTTCTGAACCCTCTTCTCCATTCTCTGAAATCTTCGGAACCTTATTTGACCCGGATTTGAATGATGCATTGCCTCTTCCACCTCGTCCACCGCGCAGCAACAGAGCCCGCTGCCCCGGATGTAACAATTCCAACAGAATCTCCTGGCTAAATGCGTCTCTGATCACTGTTCCAGGGGCCACCTTCACCACCACATCCTCACCCTTCGCCCCGTTTTGCATTCTCCCCTGCCCATGACTACCCCTTCCTGCACGAAAATGTATACCATTTCGAAATGGTAATAGCGAATTCATTGACGCATCAACTTCAACATACACATTCCCACCTCTCCCTCCATCTCCTCCTGAAGGGCCACCCAGCGGCACATACTTCTCGCGCCGAAATGCCACAACGCCATTGCCACCATCTCCAGCTTTCACATAGATTTTCGCTCGATCAAAGCACCGCATTACTGCTGGCAGCCCCTTCTCCTTCACATCTTCTTCGCCAGCTTCATAAGCACCATCATAATAGGTTTCCACTTCATCAGTATCAACAAATCTCCCCTTCCTAAATGCCAAAACCTTCTCTCCTTCCTCATCTAACTCTTCCTCTTCCTCTTCCTCTTCCTCTTCCTCTTCCACTTCACTATCATCGCCATACTCCTCCATTTCAGAGTCATACTCCCCCTCAAACACTTCAAACTTCCCATAGCCATTCCCAAAACCCAAATTCCCATCCAATCCTCCTTCCTCTTTTTCCTCCCTCTCTTCGTAGTTCAAAGAATCCAAATCATTTTCCTCCTCAATTATCGCAACATCCGAATCCAAAAGCTTCACCTCGGACGAAACCTTCGAAGAAGAAGAAGAAGTAGAATCAAAAGACGGGGAATCAAAGCTAAGAAGAGCGAAGTCTTCCCTGGGAGGGAGGCGAGTATAGGTAGTGGCTTCAACGCCAATGGAAGATAACTCCTTCGAATTGGTTCTTATCTTAACGCTATTACGATCAAGCTTGTCGTTCCCTCGAAGCTTCTTGGGCGACTGTATTCTTCTAGGGTTTCGAATTCTGGGCCGTGCAAGAGCTTGCGGAGCAAAGCAAATTGAAATGGCAGCCATTTCCAAATCCGATGAAGCGGCAAATTTGCACTGCAACTTCAACTTCAACTTCGCGGGGTTTGAGATGCGGTTACGAAAGGGGTTTTTCCAGCCATTCAATTTTCGACACGTGTCCTTACACTTGAACGTCATCTTAATAACCCAATCTTCACCACTACGACGTCGTTTTAAACCAATGACTGTGCTGGCGGTGGTTTTGCATTTCGGCCCTCGAATTCTTGAAATTTATATTTTGGGTAATTCTTTTTTTTTATTATTTATTTAACATTAAAAATATTGTCTTGATATGAGTTTTATTTAATTTCGGTCAATATACTTTAATATAACTTAAAATTGTTTTAATTTATGTTATTTAATAAAATCGTCTATATCGACCTTTATTCTATAAATTTATAGAAGATCTTTTATTACGTAAAAATTAATATTATTATTCAATCAAATTTAATTAAAAAATAATAATTTTGAATTGACGGTTTAAAATAATTTTAAATTTTATTGAAAAACATTTATATTACGACACGAATTAAGTATATTTTGATTACTAAAATTGAGAGTTAAAATAAAACAGTTTGTATATATATTATTTATGTAATATTATTATTATTTATAATTCAAACAATAAATAGCTGGCTCGTGACAAAAGCTAGAAAAAGACAAAAAGAAAGAGGCCAAATTTTGGAATATTGAAATTTAGTGGGCAATTGTGTTAATTTTGAAAGAATAGCGAGGTTAAATTGAAAACAATTTAATAACGAGGCCCTTGGGTTGATAATTGTTATAGATTTAGAGAGATCTCCCAAGTGGCGAGTAAATTAACAGAAACAAAATCATCACCGAGTTCATTCAATCGTGAACCACCTTCGACCAACCTGCGTGCGGCTCGATCGGAGCTAGGGTTTTTTCACTCGAGCTTCTCCGGCGGCTGAGAGGCGTCTTGAATCGGACAATTGAAGTCGCATTCCAAATTGGAGTTGTTTGCGTACCTTGAGAGCACCGGTGGTTATTGCTCAACTATGTATAGTGGTTCCAGTGACGGCGAAGGCCATGAGGCCCCGCAACGGAAGGTACCTCCAGCTTCGTCTATGCTGTGGGTGAGGAACCTCAGGAGATACATCGGAACCGGTACCGGGCTGGGATCTGAAGCTTTGATGGGTTCGTGTTTCCCCCATATTTCTTGTTCTTCTTGCTCTCTGTTAGTGTTCCTTTGTTTTACGGAAATGTTCTCTGATTTGGTTGATTTTCCTGAACTATGGCTGCAACGAAACTTAATTGTGCTGAAAGATAATAGGAAGTTGTTTCAATACTTTGAATCTGTAACTTTTTGTTGTAAAATGTGGAGTATTCAGTATTTAGGAACAAACGATACAATCCAGTGCTCAGTTTATCTGAAGAGGCATAAAAATCTGAACAGATCAAGCCCTGCAATGGCTATTTCTAGTCGATCTGGGTTCTTGAAAATTGAATTAATTCAAAAAAATCAGCAAATGCATGGCTCCTAAATTGCATACCATCTTTTGTTAGAGCCACCGAAGAAAATTGATCAAAGGTGAATGTATGCTACTTGATGAACCCTTTAATCTACTTTGTAACCCTAATCTTCTACTTTGGCCCTTTTAAGCATGCATGTCCATATGCACATGTTCTTGCTGCTTTAGGAATTCATCGAGTAGAGTTGGAGACTCTTGATACTTATCCTTCCTCTTGGATCTATTTTATTTTAGAATTTTTTAAAAAAAATTTTTTGGCTAGGGTTCGTCAAGGAAATTCTGATTATGATCTAGCAATTAGCAATTCCTTCCCCCGCTATATACATTTAAATGATAAGTTCTGTTTTTTTCCCTCCTACTCTTACCGCTGTTACACCTTGATCAACTGTGTATCTGAAAAACTATTGTTGATGTTAGAAGAAGTATGACAATGAAATGGGGAACCTAATTTCTTTTCCCCCCTCTTTTTTGTAGAGCTTGAGACAAAAAAAATTCTACTTGATATTTTCAAAGAGAAGCAACGGAAAACTGCTGAAGCTGGTACAATCCCAAGTTTTTACAAGAAGGCATGTGTAATTATAGTTTACATGTATTAAGAGTAAACTCGGCTGCATAGTTAGTACTTTGATTTTAAATTGAAAAATAGATGCTTTATCATGTCCTAATGTATTGTTGACATCATGATAGAAGAGATGCAATTTTGCAGACTAGAAGATATACTAACCCAGAGCTTGGCTGTGCCATTTATTTTTATTTGTTTCATTGAATTGTGCTTTTCTCTTCTTTAGAAACCTGAGGAGGGATCCATCAGCCACAGGGTTCAGAGACTTGCCAAGTATCGTTTCCTAAAGGTATAATTACCCTTATCCATTTGCACGATGGATGTTCCATAGATTTATCTGTTTGAGCACAAATATTGAGTTTTCTGCACCACACATTCTTGATGTGCAGAAACAATCAGATCTTCTGTTAAATGCTGATGATCTAGATGCAATGTGGGTTTGCCTGAGGGAAAACTGTGTAATTGATGATGCAACTGGTGCAGAAAAGGTAATATATTTCTGGCTTGATATTTTCGGCAACATGCCACATAAGCTTACATCTGCTATATTCCTTGAGCTGAAGTTCATATAGCAACTTGCATATCGCTTAGGATTGCTATTGGAAGCTTTGCCAGACATGACTGCATAGGTTAATATATTAGCAACGTTTCTGGAGGAGAAGTGTACATGTACAATAGTATTAGCTTGCTTAGCAGCCTAAGATTGTGTGTGTTCTGAAAGGATTGTTTTTTTCATTTTAAAGTGCATATTTTTTGTTTCTGGAAAACGTTAATTTAATGGTTCAAGGCAACAATTGTACATGGTAATTAACATCCTGTGATTACGATTCTGTCCTTGTAACTGTAATTTACCTCTGGTTATTTTGTTTGAGCTCTTGTGACTGCAGTATATTTTGCTAGATCTGTAGTAATGCTTACATGTTCTCTTGTTTTTCATTTCTTAGATGAACTACGAAGATTTTTGCCACATTGCTTCAGTATGTGCTGAGCAAATAGGACCTAAATGTCGGCGATTTTTCAGTCCCTCTAATTTCATGAAGTTTGAGAAAGATGAGTCCGGAAGAATTGCAATCCTTCCCTTCTATCTTTATGTGATGAGAACGGTGAGTTTAGACCCTAAGGATTAACGGTATTCTTCCATATCAATGTATGAGGAAGTATAAATGATGGAATAATCTGCACTTAGAAGTCAATAGTTGTCATGCTTTTTTTTTTTTTTTTTTTTTTCCTTGCAATGTTTTTTTAGGACAAGGGTT